AGCGCAGCAGTTTAGAGTTTAACCTCTGTGACTGGACACCCACCACCCCCACCACACCATAAAACCCTGGGACAGGTTTCACGCCACGGCTCAGTGTTCCTGGTAGCTTTTCCAGAACACAGGGCCTATATGATCCATACTGCGGCCACCTTTGGCCGGGCTCAGACAGCGGGGTTACCAAGATACATGTGAAGGAATCCTTCGGCCAAAGGATCCATACCTCCACGGCCTCTAGCTTAGCTGGGTTGGTTTCTAAGATCAGTCAAGGACAGCAAGGCTTTGGTGTGGGGATTAGGCCCTGGAAGCCAGATCTAGGCTAAATAAAAGACCATTGAACAGATAGGCAGCAATTGCAGCTTTAAGACACTTAGCGTGTCTGTTCTGCCCCCTTCGATGACCCACTCTATCAGAGATATAGAACAGTTGCAGAAGTTATGTCACTTTGGCGCCAAAATACTTAAGAGTCGTCTCTAAAGCTCGCCAAATTTACTTTCCTCTAGCTGCCTCCCTTTCATTAAACATTCTCGGGTGTTTCAGTGCAGTTTCAACATTCGCAAGAAAGCCATTGAAAAGGGATGCGCCTTAAGTCCCTCCACGGATGTGTTTAGTCTGGCAAAGAAGAGCGAAGAGGAGACACTTTAAAGAAGAGGATTCCCTTGGAGGAAGCGGAGACGCCTCGCCAGCAAGTGGGCTCACTGTTGCTGCAGGACCACTGACCGGCTAATCAGCGCACAATGTAAACAGATGTCAGCGCCGTGCATCCCATTCACACTTCCACACAATTAAGATTTAAAAAAAAAAAAGACTCCTCCCTCATTAATCCTCATCTCAATCCTTTCTTCTTATCCCACAGCAAAGCCCCATGTATTAGCATCGTGGTAAGAAGGATATGGACTCTTATCCAGTGTTTGCCCAAGAAAAGCGGCTAAGACTCAGGCATCACCACGATTAGCTAATGCTAACAATAGGAGCAATGTTTCCTTGGTGCTTCCTCTTTTCTGCCGTGAAGTGGGTGTAAAAAAAAAAAAACAGAGTAAACACAGTCTTAGGCCAAGGACATAAGAGGAGTGGGAGAAGGCGAGTCTGGGTGAATAGCGGAGATTTACCCAGACCCCTGAAGATAAACCCCCCTTTTGCTCTCTTCTCGTTGCTCAACTCCCACACCTCCCAGAGCTTCGCCACCACGGTAACGACCCAGTGGCCAGGTGTGGGGAGGCTGCAGGTGCCATCGCATTTAGGCACATTAAGCACTGACACACACCAGCGCTAAGAGTAATCGGATTTACCTGGCTGTCTGCTGCATGGCGTGGCGCGCTGTGCAAGCACAGCACAAAGGCTTAGAGCCCCCTCTCCATCACACACACGCACACCTGGGATGAATTTAGGAGGTGACAAAGCCCTCATAGAGAGGGGCTACCGCTAGTGGAGTAACAGTGTGTGTGTAAAAAAAAAGTGTGTGCTTGATTGTGTATGGAACCAGAAACCAGAACAGGAGCCAGTGGCTTTTTTACACCTTGTGGTGCAGGAGTGGCGACAGATGCTACAGGCTTCTGGTTCAAAGCAGCTGAGGGAGGAGGGGGGGGGCGAATCTGAGGTTTAAGGGGACCCCTTTCGTTTTGCTGACCCTCAGACCGCCAAAGCTCATGGGGATTGAGCTCTGGTACTGGGTTCAATCAGACAGAATGGGACCGCCGCCTTTAGGGACACCCCATGTCCTCAACACCTGGGGCCAGGAGGAGGTGTTTTACACAGCAATGCTCTCATCTCGGATCATAAGTCTTCCTGAGAGCAGGAAAGATCAGAGAATTGACTGAGACACATCAATGGGAAACACCAGAAGATAGACTTTGTGTTTCTAGGTAAAAACTTGGTTATTTTTCATCTTTACTGGTGTTATTTCTCTTTATAGCACTGGCAATCAATTATGTCTTTTACTGTAGTTCCTACATTCAGCGCCTATAAAAAGTATTCATCCCCATTGGAAGTTTTTCCCCTTTAATTGCTTTTCAATATTGAACCACAGTCAATATAATTTGGCTTTTTGGGCCGAAATTTTACAAAAAAAAACTATTTTATGTCAAAGTGAAACCAGATTTCTACACAGTATTCCCCAGGAATTAAAAAATCTGAAACATAAAATAAGTGTTTGCTCATATTCACCCCCTTGAAGTCAGTATTTAGTAGATAAGATGCACCTTTGGTCATAATTACAGCATTGAACTTAAATCGATAGGTCAGCTTTGCACATCTGGACACTGCTATTTTACCTCATTTCTTCTTTGCAAAACTGTTAGATTGTAAGAGAATCTTGAGTAAACAGCCAATTTTAAGTCCAGCTACAAGTTGTGTAGGATTAAGGTGAACTAAAAATGAATTAATGTTGAAAAGCAAGCCACGGGGAAAACTTTTTATAGGCACTGTACCTGCTCAGATGTTTAAGTTGGCATATCATTTTGTCGTGCCAGTCAGAATTTTCCAAGGACAAAGGTAGGGCTGATTAATTGAGGAAAAGTATCTAATTGAGTTTCTTTTGACAGATTTTGCTTTTTGATATGCAAGTTTTTTAAGTCAAGCTATCAGATATCATCAAATGGGTCACTTTCACACTTTCACACAAGGACGATGGCATGAATTTGTAAAACCACTGACATAAAGTTTAAACTTTGGGACGGACACACTGTTTAATGTCTGTCCTAAACTGCAGGCTTTGCAATTTGCATATTGCATTGTTTCAAATTTCATGTCAAGTTGTTTGTTCTAGAAATAAAAAACAAAAAACTTGAAGACATTCAATTCACAGTGATATCCAAAAAGAAAAAAAAGGCAAATCCTTGTACTTAAGAAGCTTAAAGTGGTACATGTCTGGCACTTTCACTGTCGAAGGAGAATAAAATCTATGCATCACGCCTATAGCTTCCCAGCAAGCATCACTTGCATCACGTTGCTCTCCTTCTACGCTGCTTCATATGATTGCAGTCATCCAGCCTCTTGATTCCCGCCGCACAAAGAAAAGCCTCTTGAAGCTCTACGGCCCTTTTGACTTTTCCTGCTGCTTTTGAACTCTCCATTTCAGACTGTGACTTTTCCACATGACCCCAAGCCTCACGAGTGACCCCCACCCTCTCCTCCTCCCCCTCCTCCTCCTCCTCCTCTGCCTCCGCCTCCTCCTCCTCCTCCTCCCACCCCAAAGGCTTCAGTGGTCTGGAACCACCAGAGCTCCTTCACACATACCCACACACATACATAAAATGAGAAGTGGCAGTGTTGCTGAGTTAGGTCAGGATGTAATGGGCAGTAATGTTCTGCCCTCGAGGGTCCTGTCCACGGCACCGTTGCCTGCTTTTAAGTAACCTTTCCCTTAAAGAGGCACCTTGGTGATTCTCAGGCACCCAAGCACGAGGGAGAGGTGGCTAATGAAGTGGCTGAATAAATAGAGTTACAGTATAAGGTTGGGGTCCACTGGACTTTTCATTACTGCCACTGGATTAAATCCTTCTGTCCCACTCTGTCTATCCCAATTGAGTGCCAATATAACCACACTAAACAAGCCATCACATCAAATCCTTGTCTGCAGGCAAAGTCCTGGCTACAGTGGCCGCCAAATTAACCCCCTAATCAGCCTCTTACTCCCCAAACATCTATCTCCTGTACCCTCTTTCCACATACAGCCCCACTTCCATCTAACTACTACTGTCTATCTGACCTTTTGTTTCAAATTATCTTCCCTATCTCACTCAAGCCACAGCTCTTCCTTCACCTCAATCTCCTGGGCTTCATCTCTGTTAGTCTCTCTCTCTCTCTCGTTCTCTCTCCTTCTGTCTTTCTCTCACACAGTCTCCGAGTCCCAGAGAGAGAGAGAGAGGCAGAGTAGGGGGTGGTGAGGTTTGACTCGGCACTGCTTTGGGGCTTTGAAGTGTGTGCTGATGAGAGAAAGCGGAGTACTGTGTTCAGACAGGCCCCTAATGAGGGAATTAAGAAGCCGCGCTGGCCGTTCCCCATACTAACTTCCCAGGCACAAAACAAGACAAGCGTGCGTGCATGTGTTCACAAGTGTGTGTCTGCATGTGTGCGTAAGAGAAGGGCTAATCTGTCAGACTTAATCAAGCATCTGGCAGTGCTGCCTCTCACCTACAGTAAAGAGGCAAACTTGAACCTCAGCATTTAGGGGCGGCACAAATATGTCCTTGAGCTGCTTAGTTTCTCAACTTTATAAGTGTTTGTGGCTCGTGGAGTTACAATTAGGGATAGACAGATTGTCGGCCTGAGCGATTATCATGGCCGATAGTTGGCATTTTTCCGATTATCAGTATTTGTATTTTTTATTGACAAATTATTGCTAAAATAAATGCTTTACTTCAGGACTGATGCAGCCACCGTTTTCTGTCTGTAGTCACTATATGGTCTCAGAAGTGTCTCTCAAGCAGAGACTGCATGCTTTCATAGTGGCTAAGGCGATGCTAACGGCTGAGTTAGAAGGCCGCCACAAAGTATCCTGAAACAGAGTCTGGAAAACAGTTATTCATGATGCTTTACTATTTGGACCTTAGTGAAAGTGACACAACAGTGCAAGGTTAAGGTGCCGACTGCTTGCTCAGAGGGAGTCCAAAGGCAACTTTGGACTGTTGAGTTCTCTGTTTAAATTCGTATGGTCTTCATCTTGCTATGTTAAGTGCTGTGAGATGACATGTTGTTAAACTGCGCTATACAAATGAATTGAATTGAATTGAAAGTAGGAAAGCAGCACAGCCGATGCAACTACAGGAGACAAACTGATCAATCGCAGTTGATCCCACATAAACAAAGGAAAGCGTCCTAATTGAGTCACTCCTATTTCTATTTTACACGTTTCATTATAGGCACCCTTCTTAATGAAGAAGCCTCGTTAAGAATGACAGGTTGGTAAAACATTACATTTAACGTTCATCGACTTCAAATATCAGTTATCGGCCTTTCTTGATGGCCAATACTCAGGTCTAAAATATCAGTCGATCCCTACTTACGATAGTGCGAATCTAAGTAGCCATTGCGGGGGTCCATCGCGAACAGCGTGCCTCGATACGGCAGGGCATGGTCGGCCAGATGGGGCAGGGAACCGTGCAGCTCCTTCTTGAGCAGCGAAGGCCTCTCCTCCGTGGAGGTGGACGGCTCCTCGTTCACGCTCCTGTCGGGGCCGCCGGCCGTCGGGGCCTGGGAGCTGATGGCATTGCGCCTCTCGCGGTGGTAAGGCGTGCCTGAACTCTCGTCCTCTGCCAAGAGAAAAAAAAAAAAAACAGAAACCTGATGTTAAAACAATATGATATTTTATTTTTTAGTTGCGAGCAGCAGGTGCATTGGGTGAGGAAGTCTGTTCACGTAGAGGGAAGCAGGTAGAGGGAGGAGCAGGAGATCAGTTTTGCACAACTAAAACATACTGGGCATTATAGGTGTAAATCTGCCTTCCGCCGTGCCAGCTCAGAGGCAGAAAGTGTGTGAGGAAACAGGCGCTGTGGATGAAAATATCCCGACTTCTTAATTTCATAAAGCTGCAAAAACGTATGTTCTTAAATTCAGCTCTGTCTGTTCTTTTTACACAGAAATGGATTCCCATGGAGGAGGCAACACAGGCTTTCTGCCCGCATTCCAAGCTGCCCATTAACAAGCGGCATGGGCTGTATCAACCCCACCCTCCTTCATTCTCTTTTTTTTTTTCTCCCCCCCCTACTCCCACCCCTCAACTCTCTCTGTTCTCAAACTAAATCTTTCTCTCTTTCTCTGTCTGAGGGGAAAATTAGGAGGAGCGGGGCCTCGGGAGAAAAAAGCTCCTCGGCGTGCTGCGTACAGGGGATAAATGTGGAGTTGAGTTCAAGGGCTGAGCTCCAGCAGAAAGACGCGACCTCTGACCCCTCGGCGCTGACCTCTGAACCGACGTGCACGAGGGTCAGCTCGCCTTCTGACCCGGTATTAGTCTCTTCTGTAGCACGACACCATATAGAGTCAGAAAGTGGCACAGCAGGTTCTGTTTCATTTTCAAATTTCAACAAGATAAATGATAAAGTGTTTCATTTTCTGCAACCAGATGGATTTCATTTTGTAGAGGGAAAGATAGAAATGGGATACTTATGTTGACTGCACTGTTTGTCACAGCAACCACTTCTGTACAATGATTGGTAACATGTTACTTGGATTTGCAGATCATTGTACACTTAAGGTAATGTTATATGGACCATCTGATGTGGGCAGTGTATATTTATGGCTTTGGACCACATTTTTACTTTCATATACTGGTTGAAATTTCATACCTGGTGCACTCTGGAAAGAGTGACCTAAGCTGAGTTGATTCCAGATAATCTACTTTTTTTAAAAAAAGCAGATAATCACTTGATTTTGGCCACGTTGTTTAAGCATTACTTCAAAATGAGAATCAATGTTTGTTTTAACACAAATAATCGTATCTAGATGGGTAAAAATATTTAGTAGTTTTCAGGTAAAACCCCTGATTTTCTGCCCACAGCGACGTTCTTCAACTCCAGCTTTCTGTGCCTGGTCTCCACATTCAGCCCCGGTTTATATGCAATTATTATTATTATTATTGTGATTTCACCATTGAGTGTGCTGGTCATCACTACACTCCACTGTTCTTTCTCGTATTCATGTCGCTCACTGAGAAACTGGCAAAATGCCGTTGCGTCGGCGCCAAAGGTTCTGTAGTATTAGCAGCCTGGCGGTGTGAGCGGCTCCCCCACTACGCACTGCAACCCAACAGCATCCAACTGCCAATTAGGAACAGAGGAGAGGGCCAGATTAAAGAGCGCTACCTTGAGCGGCGAAGAGGGCCGCCATAGTGCTGCACCACTTCACAGAAGAAGAGAAGCGATCAGAAAGGAGGAGGTTAAGAGAGAGAAACAGAAAGAGAGAATGAGATTGAGAGAAGGCGAAGAGAGAGAGCGCGCAGGAGGAGCAACCCGAGGGTCCCGCTTTTATTCCCCTCACTCTCCCACATCCATTACCTGCGTTCGGGCCAGCCGTGCCCGAGCGCAGCACTGGCAGCGGATTCAAGGATTCTTAACGCGGAACTGACAGCCAGAGAGGCAAGTCGCTCTCATCCGCAGGAAATGACAGTGTCAGTTATGATATAAGTATTTAATCCTATACTGCACAGCCAGTGATCTTATTAAGGGAATAATGCAACTTATACGGTTAAAGCTGGATTAATAGGTCTGCGCTTGCAAAGCGCAATATTAACATAAAGGGATTTCAGAATTGGGTTCATCTCCTGACATGGATTGAGGAAGACTGTAAACTATGCAGGGAGCAAGCACAGCTAAGGGTAGAGCATGTAGCTGTGTGTAGCACAGGCTCCCACTGTGTACGCTCAGCTCCTTCACATCCAGAAAATCTAGCATTACATCTGGGAAGGAAAAAACTGTCTACATATTTATGAGCTCATTTTCTTACTTTCATACAGATACTTGATGTTTCATAAATAGATTCATCACTGGGGCCTTAGAAAGGGTAGCTTTGACTTGCGAAAAACTACAAGTCTGAACTGCTTACTTTTACAGAAAAATATACTCCACGCTGCTGTTTGTTGGCTTTTTTTAATTTGTCCTGTTCAGTCCGTCTCCCCATCTTTCTTGTTTTTCTTTCCGAGTGACCCCCACTGCTATTCAGATATGTCTCTCTCCTCCAAGGCAGGTCAAGCGACTAATAGTTCAATCACGGCACTGTCACACTCCCGCCATCCCCCTCCAGTCACCCTGGAAATCCCAGAGGGGTGTGGGGGGGTTCATCATTCTACCATATACCACCTTAAGGGGCTTCATTACTTCAATTCATAGGACCTTAAATGGTTAAACAAACACTCTGCAGCACAAGGGTCAATTGACTCCTTGACTTCTCAGTGGAAGAGAGCGAGTTTCAAGTTTTTCTTGTGTTGCTGTTCGTACCTGCTGCTGGAAACTTTCTTGTATCCTTATAACACTTTGAGTATCTGTCAAAAAACGGGCTAATGAAGACAGAGCAGACACAGGTAAACACATGCAACTTTGAAAAGTTCAACTCTCCTCCAACTCTGACCATCCGCCCAACAGACCCTTTCCCTTTTTCCCTCCCTCATTTTTCATTCCTCTTTTATTTCCCCCTCTTTTCCCATGGTTGCCGCATCCAGTCCTCTACCAGTTTGCAGGTCTATTCAGCCCAACACAAAAGCAGCAGGCCGGTCCTCTGTGGACCAGAGGAAAGCATGCCTCTCAAAAAAACAGAAAAAAGAACTATCCCGCTCTCTCTCTATGGTGATTGAATTTCTTAACATCTTTTCAAAAAGCGCTTAAATGCCTGGAGGCGAGAGGAAGAAACAAGCTAATGGTGGATGGGGAGCACTGAACAAATTTCAGAGCCCTTTCCTGCTCGCGTTTGAGGTTGAAAGCGAGCTCCTGCCTTTCAAGTTTCAAAGTCCTCCTTCCTCCCGCAGTGTCACTGAAGGATTTGAAAAGAAGGTAATTGTGCTCACTGCCGTCCTGATCAGAGCACACGCCCCAGCTCTAGTATTTCAGGAGCTTTCTCTGCCACTATAATGGTACCTGGTGCTCCATTCCTGCATTCTTCCTCCCTTACTACTCTTTCTCCTCTCTCTCTGACCCTCGACAAATGCATTCTCTATTGCTCTCTCCCTCACTTGGTTCCTATCCTTCTTTCACCCCCAGCAAGCCACTCATTAAATCCTAAAACCCAGGTTTCTCCCTCTCTTTTTTTTTCTGCTTGTCTGGGGTCTCTATTGTAAGATTCTGCTTCAAATACCTTTGGAGAAAACCCCTATGCATGGCCTTTAATATGGCGGTATAAAAGAGAGCGTGGATGCAATGACAAAATGAAATTTTGAAAGAGATAATGAGATATGGAGTGGGGCCAACACCTCTGAGAGCTGGGCGCCGGGACAAGGGAGGGGGGCTAAAGTTAAGGGTGCCCAGGCAATTCAAAGCGATGGAAAGTGAAACAAAACCCTTGGCTTGTTGTTTTTGAAGGCATTTTCTAGAGGTAGAGGTTAGGAACAAGGATTGTTGTTCCTCCGCATGCCAATCTGTCCTTGACTCTCAAGCATCTGATTTGCCTTCCAGCCTGAACTCAGTCAAACAGAGTCTCCAAAGCCGGGACATGCAGGGGTGCACAAAGGGCCATTGCACGCTGCAGTTCTTCCCCCCCTTCGTTTTTCTAAAAAGCCTAAAAAAAAAAAATCAGAGGAGGTGTTGTTGTACCTCTGAGCCAGATATATGCTGTATTCCACCTTCTAACTTCTCAAAGCACTGTTGTCAGTGGCACAAACAGGTTTTGGCTGGGGAGCACATGGAGAGTGAACAAGGAGGAGAGGAGTGGAGGATATACGGTGAAATCACAAAACACTTCTTCAAAGCTCCTCTCCTCCTGTGCAATAATCTCTTGCTCCTTTTTTCTTTCTCTTGCAAATCAACTCCCGGGAAAGACTCAAGACTCCCCAATTAACAATGAGAGGGGGAAGAAAAATTCCAGCAGCTGGCTAGAGTTTAATAAGAGCACCTCTCCAAGCGGCTTAGGCTTATGTACCTGATTCACCGGCCCTGGCATTGGCGCTAAAGACAGAGGGAATCATTCACGATTAGCGCAGGCTGAAATACGAGCGAGAGAGAGACCGCTCAAACTCAACAACAGGAGCACGGGGGGATTACTGCAATTGTGTGAGGTATTTTTCTGATCAACTTCTTAGCTGATAGGCTCAGTGCCACAAGAAGCTTGGTGCCTTCTCCACAACGGAGTTCAGTTATGCATTATGTGAAGGTTACTGAGTCCTAATGGAGCCTCCCGTATCCGCCTCAAAAGGGTGACTTTCGAGCATCTTCCTGACAAATAATCTAAATGTCAAAAGGCAGAATGAGGTCATTACTGTGATATCTGTGGGCAGGATAGTTTGCATTCTCCAGTCAAAATATCCGTCAGGGCTCTGGAGAACTTCAGCAAATATAAAGTTCACTCCCTCTAACTTTGCACTCATGTTTGATTCTGTCTCTGCAGAGTGAATCCGCGGTGGTGTATTATTTAACCATCAGCGTGTGATGGATGTTTGGACGAATTGCAGGGAGAGGTCAGGATGTTCCCTCTCCTGGTTAGCAGTCTATTGTCAGCTGCTGATTTCCCACACAGCGCCCGCAAATGCCCTCTTCAATATTCATCTAGGCAAATTCGACGACTCCCACATCTCAATTTGGCTCTCGGCAGCCTGAGCCCCAACCCCCTGCTC